TAAAAAGCCTCTCTTCCTTTCTCATTCTAAGATGACTGCTAGAGAACATGAATTGAAGGGGAAAGGAATGAATATTGTCAACACGTCCTTAAATTCTATCTGCAAATAAACCACATTTTTCTAACTGCATTCCGTATTATTTTGAAATTAAAAAGATGCAGATATTGGTTTCCAAACTGCACGTTAAGCATGCCTATTAACTCCTCATGAAGCACGGTCCACAGTCAGGCTGTTTGGCCACCCTGTCAGGGAAGCGCTGGACTCCAAACTCAGGGTCTTCAGTTGAAAACCCACGAGCTTTCTGTAGGAGAGAGCTCTGTCAAGACTTCCAGCCATGGAAACCCTCGAGAGCAGGGGTTCCCAACCTGCCTCAGGCCACGCCCCTTCCATACAGCTCCTCATGTGGTGGTGACCTCCCAACCACAAAATTATTTTCATTGCTACTTCCTAACTGTAATTTTGCTGTTATGAATTGGGCAATCCCTGTGAAAGGGTCGTTTGACCCCAAAAGGGTCATGACCTCCAGGTTGCGAACCACTGGTATAGAGTCTCAATCAGTTGGAATTGACTAGACGATGGCAGTGGGGTTTGTTAGGGTTAGTGCATGCAGGCAAGATAAATGAGAAATGCTTCCCTGACCTTCTGTGTGGGTTTTAATTTCACAATGATTGGTTTTTACTTATTATAGAAAAATATTTAATAAAATACAAATGTTGAATGACACAGGATTCATACTTTGTTAGTTTTATTATCGATTGCATCAGTCTCAGTAAACTCTACAAATAGAATGTCTCTCAATGTTCCAAGTTAGAGCAGACGTTTAGTCTTTTACAATACTGGATTTGAGGCCCTGCTTCGACGTTTACTCCTTGACTTTAGAGAAACAAACTAGCTACTTAGGTGTTCACTTAGTAACTAAGAGCTCTGGTGGAGCAGGGGTGTAAGTACTCACTGGCTAACCGAAAGGTCAGTGGATCAAACCCACCTGCCACTCTTTAAGAGAATAATGTGGCAGTTTGCTCCAGTAATGATGCATAATATTGGATGCCCTGGGTAGTTCTACTCCCTGAATCCAGATCAACTCAGCTGCAATGGATTTGGTGTGTATATAGACGGATTTTGCAGTTATTTCACACACACACACACACACACAGCTTTTTTTAGTGTTGCTCAAACAGTAAATAATGATCCCTTACACCAAGATCAATTACATAACATAGTTTAAAAAGATAATATCTAACAGCCTACTTTGGTGAGTACCTCGTGGGATCTTAAATGCTTGTGAGTGGCCACTTATGGTACAATCATTGGTTGCTCTGTTCAGAGTGAAGAACATTGAAGATTCATGGAAACGATCAGTTCAATGGATTAAAGGATCATACCTGCAAAACCCCGAGACCAGAAAAACGAGAGGTGCCTGGACACCACTGTCAGGTTCTGGGTAAAGTAGGAGAGAAATGTGTAACAAAATTCAAAATCATGAGACTAGGCTTTTAAGGGGAACAATAACACTGGTGAGGTACACACACCATTGAAGTAACCAACCATTGAACATCAAAAGGACAGCATTCACCCATAGACAAAGTTCAGAAGTTAGGAATCAAAACAGGAAGCAGGGGAAAAAAGGTTAAGTGAAGTGTACATTTTAGGAAATGCAACTAACACCATGGCAAAATGTGTATAAATCATGAGAAAAGTGATTTGTGCTATACACCTTGATCCAACTCATAATACAAAGCTAATAATTTTTAAAAAGGCAAGACCATGGCTTGTGATAGGCACTCCTTAGTCACCAAAGTTGCAAAATTTAAAAAAAATCAATTACTAAACAAAAGGTTGATTTGAATCCACCCAGAACACAGTGGAAGGAGGGCCTGACCATGTTTCCATGAGACGCTAATCAAGAAAACCCGGTGGACAGCTCCACTACTCTGAAACAGATGAGGTCAGCTTGAGTTGAGATCCAGTCAACAGCAACTGGTTTGATGTATTTTGCTTTGCTTTGCAGCAGAATGGCCCAATACAATGTTGTTTGATTTGATTGATCCTTTCATGGATATTGTTCTTTGATCCAGTGAGAAAATTTTTGAAAAATTAAAAAATGGTCCGTAGTTAAAGCTGATAGAAAGAAGTCCTGATGTACAGTGGATTATGCACTGGGCTGTCACTCTACCACTTTGAGGAAGTAAGATGAATGAGCAAGACAATGTTTAAGTGCTTGGCTGCTAACCAGCAGGAAAAAGCCCCAGTGATATCTAATCATGTAAAGATTAGTCTGGGAAACATGGGGCAGCAGTTTTACTCTCATCACGTAAGGCCACTTCACTGATTCAGAATGAACTCGCTAACACACACCAAGCAGTCCTGATTATGTCATACTGCCAGCTTGTTATCCTGTGGTAGTTTGTGTTGTCATTATGATGGAAGATAGGTTACCAATATTTCAGTTATCAGCGGGGTCACCCAGGGTGGACAGGTTTCAGCAGACTCCAGACTAATAAAAGCTAAAAAGGTCTTTCAACCTATTTTAGAAAATTAGGCAATGAAACCCTGTGGATTATAATAGTATATTGCTCAACAAATTGCTGGAAGAATACAGAATAAACCACTCGAAATACAGTGGGCCAAACAATGGATTTGAAGATGGGGCAGGACTTAGCATTTCATTCGGTTGTACCTGGAGTCACCAAGAGCTGAAGCTGCCTCCATGGCTACAAGTCTGCATAGTTCTCACTGAATTATAAAACTTCCAAGTTCAATGCAGTGTTTGTCGCATTATTTACTTCCTAACAACTCCCAAGAAGGGATTCCGATTTTACTGATTTCAAAAGTAAAGCATTTGTAAATGTGACTGACTCACACAAACCCATTGCCGTTGAGTCAATTCCAGCTCACAGAGACCCGAGAGAGTAGAACTCCACCAGTTTCCAAGGCTGCTAATCTTTTAGGAAGCAGACGGCTACATTTCTCACATGAAGCAAACGGTGGATTATCCTGAACCACTGTCACTTGGGTTCCTTACTAGCAGATGAATTTTCTAACTTTACTAAAGACTATTCTGTATCTAACCTTCGTATTTATTTTTTTCTCTAAAAGTCAATTTCGATTGGGGCCTTGTCTACTAACTGGTCTTTCTCTTACTGGATAAATAGCAAAAGGGCAGAGCTTTAAATGAGTTTCTTTCCAGCTTTTAAGGGGAAGCCATAAAAGTG